GGCTCAGGCTGCAGCAGGTATCCATAGGGAGGCTGTTTCACACTCCCACTTTCTGTCAGAGATCCTCAGTGATCTGCTGTCCACACACTCCCGAGATCATTGTAATGCAGGGGGATAATTTTTGTAAAGGCCCTTTAATGAGTTTGCTTTTATTCCTCCACTCTCTGAGCTGAATGTGAGCAGAGGGGAAGAGCAGTTTGGTGAAGGGTGGGAAGCTCCAGACTGGTGACAGATAATTGGGGTCCTCCTTGGGTGTCCCCTGACACCAGGTCTGCAGCACTGGAGCCCTCCCAGCTCCTGGGCAAAGGCTGTGCCAGCTGTGCCAGCTGTGCCAGCTGTGCCAGCTGTGCCAGGGGCATGGCACAGGGGACAGGAGGTGTCCCTCAGGACAGGCTGTGCTGGCCACCAGTGCCTCTCCCAGCCCTGGCCAGCACCACTGAGTCCTGCCTCTCACACACAGCATCTCTGCTGGTGTGACAACTGCTTTCCAAGCCAATATATTCCTTAATGGTCCCAGAAAGTCGCTAATACCAGATGGCAAGGCTCTCTGTATTTTTGCAGGACAACAAACAAATTGTTGCTGGATGCCAGACTGCTCTGGCAGAGCTTTGTCACTGATGCCTGCCAGCAGTGGCCTTTAGGGGATAGCAATAATTTGGGGTTGTTTACATTACAGCTTTAAAAGAGGGGTTTTCTTGAGGCATGTGTGTGCTCAGTCAGGAAAGTTGGCTAAAAAAACTCTGACAGCATCGAAGAGTGGAGGTGCCCACCGTGGGCTGTAAATGTGCCCTGGGCCCCCAAAACTGCTCTGGGCCCGGGGAGGAGCTGTGGGGGTTCAGCAGGAGTAATGGCACACATTGTGGATCTCCCTGTGACACACTCAGCCATAAACCATCCTGACTTGGCATCTCAGGTGAGAGCAAAACCTGACGTGGCTTCTGCTGGGCCTGGCTCACATCTCCTTTGGAGCTGCAGTCTGGGTCTTCACTCTCCTGTGGGATTGTTTTAATTGAAGTCATCTAAATGAACACGTGCACTGGGGCCTGGAGCCAAGCAACTGTGAACATTGCCATGGTTTGGACAGGGAGACCTGATCCAGAACCAAGTGTCCAAAAATCTGGAATCAGAGCCTGCAGGATTGCAAAGGTCTTAAAACCAATGGGATGACAAAACCACTTTTATTTTGGTTGGGCCATCAGAATCTTCTGCATTTACCTGATCAGGCTTTTTTCCTGCAACCTGTGGAAAAAAAATTTGAATTGTTTTTCTGAAAATGTAGAAGCTGAGATTCTCATGAAATTAAAAATTGAAGTGGAAGCTAAACCACCCTCCTCCATTCTCAGATCCCAAACATTGTTGAGAAGCTGGAGAGGAGCTGCAGGGAGGGACCTGGGGGTCCTGGTCCATGTCCTGTCCCTGTCCTGGTGACATCCCTGTCCTGTCCTGGGGACATCCCTGTGCTGCCCTGGGGACATCCCTGTGCTGCCCTGGGCACATCCATCAGGGTCAGGGAGGGATTGTCCCACTCTGCTCTGGGCTGGGCCAGCCTCACCTCCAGTGCTGGGGCAGTGTTGGGCACCAAAATGTAAGAAAGTCACCTTTTAGCTGTATGTGAACATCTCCAGTTAAACTTCTCAGCACAGCCATAATTCTTCAAGTGTTTGCTCTGAAATGAAGCAAATTGTCCTTTCTTTTTTCTTCTTTTTTTTTTTTTTTTTTTTTAAATGAAAAAAAAAAAAAGAAAATTCTTCATGGTATTGTTTTTATGCTGAGGACTGGCAGGTCTGTGCTGGGGATGTGAGCATTGTGTGTCCTGGCTGTGTCAGCCCAGCAGAGAGCTGAGTAACACATTTACACATTTGCTGTGATTCCTCTTTAGGAAATGTCATGTTTCCTTTGGCTGTTTCTAAGAAGCCCCTGTTCTCTCCAGACTGAGCTTTGCAAAGTCAAGGTTCACTTGCACACCAAGCTTGTAAGCTTGACCTCTGAATCTTTTCCTCATCCCGTGGCTGGAAGGTGCCTGTCCCCTCCCAGGGAAGAAAACCATCTTCTTGAAAGCTGTGTGATAATTGAATTTAATCCTTGCTGTGTCACCATAGAGCTGCTGACCCCTGTCCCCCGTGTTTGGTGGTGGCTGCAGCTGTGTCCTGTTGGCTATTGCAGCTCCCTAAGGTTTCATGGTAATTAAAATTGCTGCTGGGGATCCCTGAGGCCTGGCCATGCCTTGTCTGGGTGGGCAGGGTGTGCTGCTCAATGCATCTTGTGCTGACAGTGCCCAAGTTGGGTTTAATTGCCTTCCTCAGAGCCTCTCATCTCCTAAGTGCAGTTTGGTGTTGGTCTGGAGCACCTCGAGATGAGGGTGATGTTTCTTCTGAGCACTGCTCAGCAAACACACTGCTGGATGTAAATATGATTTATTTCACTGCAGGGAGGAGCAGAGCACTGCAGCCTTGTCCCTCTGCAGTGGCTGCAGCTGAGATCACGTCCAGGGGACTCCTGCTCCTCAAGGACTGTTTCTCCTTGGCCTGAAGCTTGGTTTTGGACAGGAGGTGAGAGAACAGAGGCTATTTCTGCAGTGGAGAATAAAACCTGTGCTCCAACAGTAGCAAAGGAGAGTTTATTTGATATGGCAGCTACAGAACTATGTTTAAGGTCAAAGAAAAGCAGATCCTGCTTAAATACATTTTTGTTCTTGAGATTCTCTTGTCTTTTGGATACCCAAAGATGTGAAGTTTTCCTGAGGGAGGACAAGTCTCAAGCCTTGCATTTGTTGCACAGGGATGGAAGTTGGTCACTCACAGGCTGGAACAAATGTGGATGATGATTTTTTATGGATGGCACTTGATTTGGTGATGGATTTCTCTCTTTTCTCAGTAATATAACTTGACACGAAGTAAAGCCATCCTGCATACAAGCAATGACCTTTCTTGGTTCTCAATTCCCCCCATTTAAGCTTGTCCCAGGGAAAGTGGTGTCACTCCTGGACTCCTGG